ATCGTTCGATGGGTTGAATTGCACAAAACGCATGATCGCACCGGCTAGTCTGGTGCGCGTTGCTATATATAGATTTTTGTTTTGTTGAAGGCAAGGAGTACTCCTACGGATTTTGGTTTATGTAAATCAAAAAAGTAAGAGAAAAGGTGCCAAAAGGAGAGGAGAAAGGAGAAAATTCGCGTGTTTTCTGAATTTTTTTCCTCCTCATTTTCAAGTCATCTGATGTTTCCTCCTTTCTCCCACAGGTACCAGTAGCACTACCTTAGCACGTCTTTCCGAAATTGTTTTTCGGGGATTTTTATTGTTCATAGAGGCTCGGGGATTACTGGGGTTTTTGGTCTGTATAAATCAAAAAACAACAAAACGTGCCAAAAAAAGAGGAAAAAGGGAAAATCCACGTGTTTTTCCAAATTTTTTCACTCATTTCCAAGTCATCTGGTGTTTTCTCGGCTCACCTACAGGAATTGCTTTAACATTCCCTTCTAACACTGATTTTTTTTCCTGGATTTTTGTTGCTGCCTTAGAGAGAAGAGGAGTTCCTGAGAATTTTGGTCTATGTAAATCAAAAAGCAGTAGAAAAGGTGCCAAAAGAGAAGGAAGAGGGAAAATTCATGTGTTTTTCAAATTTTTTCCCTCATTTTCAAGTCATCTGGTGTTTTTCGGCTCCCATACAGATACTGGTGGTACTGGTTTAACGTGCCCTTCCTACATTGTTTTTTTTCTTGGATTTTTACTGTCCAAAAGGAGAGGGAGGGGGATTTCTAGGACTTTTGGTCTTTGTAAATCAAAAAACAGCAGAAAAGATGCCAGAACCGGGGGGAAAAGAGAAAATTCATGTGTTTTCTAAATTTTTTCCCTCGTTTTCAGGTCTTCTGGTGTTTTCTCGGCTCCTTTGCAGGTACTGGTGGTACTGCTTCAACACACTCTTCTAACATTGATTTTTTTTGTGGATTTTGAAAGAGGAGTTCCTGGGAACTTCTTGGCCTGTGTAAAACAAAAAGCAACAGAAGATGTGCGGGAAAAAGAGGACAGAGGGAAAAATTCAAGTGTTGGTTTCCTTCTCCCCCCTCCCCTTCCCAGTTTCAAATTACCCGATGTTTTTTCGATTCCCCCACAGGTACTGGTGGTACTGCTTGAAAACACCTTTCTGACATTGCTTTTTTTCAGGGATTTTTATTGTCTTAGAGGGCGTTGTAATCGCTGGGATTTTTGGGCGATGTGAGACAAAACGCCGCAAAGGGAGTTGGGGGAGGAAAAAAGGGAAAAGTAGGTTGGGGGGGGAGGGGGGAGGGGAAGGGTTGTTGTTGCTTCAGATATTCACATATTTTAGGTGGACTATTTGTTTGCCTGCAACGATATGTTGGTGTTTGTGAGGATCATGTACGCGGTTACACTGAGAGAACTGCCCGTCTGGGTCTGCTTTGGTTCAAGCAAACCAAAAAGCGACTGTCCGATTCCGATGAACCGAAAGACAAAGTAACAAAGGTTTCTTTCATCGGCTTACTGGAGCCGTTTTTTTTTCCAGTTCCTTTTAATCGTGATTTTTTTTTCCCTGTAAAAACTCTTTGTATTTTGATTATGATTACGATTATTCTGTTTTCTCGAAGTCTGAATTTTTCCTTTAATTTTTATGGCATCTTTTGATTTTAGCTGGCGATTGGTGTGGAAGGTGGCTTCTGCTCAGGGCCAAAATATGAAATTGAAAATGAATATGCCATTGTGGTGCATCCTCATTTCAAGACGAAATATAGCATTAACAGGTTTTTTACTCGCTTTTCAGACTGTTGCATAAATACTATGCTGAAAAAAGGGGGTTTGGTAACTAATTTCCCGCATACAATCTGTCCCATTACATCAAATAACCCGCAAGTCTTGCATTGTACGAGCACATCGCCAAGTTCTCTCTCTGCTAATGTTTGGCCCCGTACCTACTAGAAAAGGCTCGGCACATAAAGGAAAGGAGAGAAAAAAAGGGTGGAAATGTAAGAGTGAAAGATCGTTACAAAGAGAGAAAAGAGGGGGAGGGGGGCGAGAAGGGGGAAGAGGAGAGAGAAAAGCAAAAATTTAGAGGAAGGCTGAAAAAACCAACGGTGAGGGGAGCAGGATGGTTTGTTATGATGGAAAAAACTGTAAGATTTGAGGGGGAAGAGTACAGATGCGGTGGGTTAGGGGGTGGAGGGGAGGGG